ATTTAAATGTAACTTGACCTGTTATGTATTTTCACTGTGTTTATGTCTATCGATAAAACAACGTTAAACAATGAGTGATTATTAAATTATGTTCTGAATTGAGTAAAAGTAGAGTAGAAACGATAAATGCTAAAATATGTTCACAGAAAAGTATATCACCCGTATATATTTCACATTTTTCGGACATATCCGTGAAAATCGTGAGGACCTTGAAGACAATGACCAAGCAACGTTGTCAAATAACACTCATTATAAACATAACATCGCGAAAGTAAAATAACTCATCGAAGCAATAACTGTGTGCTTGCAAGACTTATATATGCAAAATTAGAATGCGGAAAAAAATAGTTTCTTTAAACCGAGATCTGTGCGATGGTAGTACAACATATTCTGACGAACGACCAAAAAGACTGAAAAGTTCAGGATTGTAAACACAGGTTAAAAATGTCTCGAAAGAAATTCATCAAGTATATTAGCAATTGTAAATGTTAATGAAATGTAATCTTTTTAATATGATCTGAAATCAATAGGTCAGAAAACGACATGGAAATTACTATAAAATGTAAGACAGTGAAAGTTATGCGCTCAGATGAGCGAAATAGAGATAATGTCAACCGTTTTTATTGATAAAAAGCAATTGGTTCATCCGAAAACATCAGTTGGGTAACGCAGAATATTATCTGAGAATTCTACAACGATTGTGGATAAAAATTCGGCTAGTTCCAACTAAATATAGACACCTAGGTAATTGGTTTTTGTTTCACAAAAATGTACCATCGCATTCAACCATCATGGTATTTGAAAAAATGCATCCTTGTCATCAATCATTAAACGTATTAATCTGATTTGGTAGAATATGACATTTCAAATTGATGATAGAAAAATAAAATTTTGATATATTTCTGCCATACATAAGTTCTCAACTGACATACCAAAAAAAATTCCGGCGAATATATATAAATATCTCTTAAAATTTCTTTAAAAGTTTTAAGGGTAGCTTTGATTTCGAAGAAGACTATTTTAAATAAAGAAAAATTAAATAAGAAAAATATAAATTTCTCAACATTTTAGAAAATTTACGTTTTTATATATCTACAAGCACAATTTTGTAGACTTAAATTATATGCGTCACAGATATTTATTTTTAGGCATCACTATAGCTTTTTCTTTGTTTTCTTCCATTCCATTACTAGCCTTTCAAATAAAATCTCTCTTTGCTGTTCTCTTCAATGTATTAAAATTCATAATCGTGCTTAAAATGTACCTAAAACAACATAACCAGAGCTAAAACTGATAGTTATTTTTATTGATGCATTTTATTACAAATTCATTTTAAGGTAAACACATATATCCTCATTAAACCCTTATTAGATAGATAGATTATATATAATATATAGAGGGACTAAAATCTATCTAATATAGATAATTTAAAGATAGACTAAAATCTGTCTAATAACATTTGGAGAACAGCTGTAATCCAGATGGTGCAATAAGTTGACGTAGGTACACATAGTGAACAATATCACTATGGAAAAGTGTTTATTCTGATATCTCAAGAAATGCACACTTTACATTAAGAATTTAACAAATTGTCTGAGTAAAAACTATATGAATGAAATGTGTTGTTTTATAGTATGACTTTTTTCATTTGAAACTTTTTAAAGTTTTATTAATGATATGAACTTCTCTCTCTAGTAAAATTCCACCACTTTATGGGAATTAAAGTTTGTGCTCATTTCAAAGCCCAAATGCTAATCAAATAGATAAGTTCTTCAATATATGTCAATACGAATTCGTTAAACCTCTATGATATGAACGATTTACTAATTAAGGAATAAAAAGATTTAACATAATCACATTGCATAGTATTCCAAAATACTACAGTATATAAAGTTGCCAGATTAATTGAAAATTCCTCCCTAAGCTAAACAGTAAGCGGTTACAAATTTTTAATTTGCTGAGAGACGAAAATGTGAGGTAATATTTTAATCAAAGCGTATGACATACTCGTAAATTAAAAAATTAAAGCCATTTAATGAAATTTTCGAACTTTATTCACCGCTGAAATTATGTTTTGGCAGCGAAATTATATTATTTACTTACGCATATTGGGAATGCGAACTTGTCGTAGGGCCTATATTCGTGGGTGTGTGGGCGTACGCGGAATTGAATATCAACATATGTGTCCTTTTAGGCATATCGTGGGAATGTGTGTTTGCTGTGTAAATATAATATTGAAGCATTAAATGCTGTAATAAATTTACATCAATCTCAATTATTGTGTGGTGTTAACATCTGTGTTTGTGAATAAGCAGACGAGCTCGCACACAAAAACAACAGACCGCGCACGCAATGCGATATGCGTAAATTTATGTGAAGGCATTCGCAAACTTGTGTGTCATATCCTGTTGATGTTTTCCTTCAATTATTTCACGTTCATCACATGTAAAATAAAACCGCCTTTAGTTCATATGATTTATTTGAATTATTGTTAAAATAATTGTAAATGCAGTGAGGTGTGGAGCTTTACAGATATGCTTCCAGAGCAGAAGGAATGCTCCATTTCAGTGACAGAACACCAAATTATATTTTTAACCAAAGACTAACGAACATTATTTTTCCTTATGTTAGCAAAGTATTTTGTATGTTTACACAATTTAAGTGTAAGAAATGCCAGGAATAAATTTTAAATTCTAATAAAGTTTCGCAACTGCCCGGTCACTTGAGTTGTTTAATGGTTAGATTAGAAACATCTGTTTGGCATGTTTTCTCAGCCTGCGTCTTTCGTACAGATGTTACTTTTAAAAGCGTTTCAGGCGTTTTCATTTTAAATAACAAGGCCATTAATCTTGCGAAAAATATTTGCCATTTGCAAGTAGAACAGCAATTCAGAAAACAGAGCCTTTGAGCGTGGCATAAATTTGTAAAATAATTAATGAGCGCCTAAGTACAGGCTAACAAAATGAAAACACGAAATGTAATAATATTAAAATGTTTCGCACTTTAGCAACACAAATTTTAGATAGCGTCCTTTATGAATTCAAAGAAAACTTAATGTCTTCAAAATGTTCCTTTTTTTTATTTATTCGAGTACGAACTTTGTCTTCCATCGAAGAGTAAGGTTTGAAATCTTTAAGATTGAATATCCGGACGCATAAATGTTCAATAATTAAATTTAGCAAAATTGCAATATCCTTTCTGTGCACAGTTCCACAGTTCCCAACTTCCTCCTTACTGAATACTTCTTGAAAACTATTTTAACAGTTGAGCCCAGACAAATGTAATTTTGATTATTGCTGCTTTGATTGAATTTGATGGCAAAACTTCGAACAATTATGGCGTTCTCTTGCTCATTTGCGTGTAAATTAAAATTTGAAATTGGCAACCAAGATTTATTATTAAAATCTTCTTCCGAACAAACTTTTGAATAACTTCCCAACCACACAAAATAGAATTTTGATTTTGAAATGAATAATGAGATATGAAAATGATGGAATAAGGTGGACTTTGAAATTTGACTTTAATTTTAATTTGTGAATTGAGAAAATCTTTCTTTTTTTTTTTAATATAATTTTTAAGATTAGCAGTACTTCTTCAGTAATATAGGTATATCAAACAAAACTTGTATCGAAAGAATCACGTGTTTAGATTAAGATTTGACATTTCATCATTTGAGTCGTCTTACAACCACTGTGTTTACGTTTTAAAATTGTCACAGCTTACCACAAATATGATTTTAGACGATTTTTCATCGATTCATCTTATTTCTTCAGTGATGAGGTTATTTTTTTTGGTAATTTTAACAAACATAACTGTTGCACCTGTGACAGTGAAGATCCATACACAAAACTTTCACTTTGTGGTGTGATATTTGATCCAAAAGTGTGATAGAACACGGATCTATGAATGAATGGATTAAGATTCGTATAACCTAACTCCAGTTAATATGACCAATCAATCAAAAGTTCCGACAAATCATTGAAAGTTGTAACGACACGGATTCTCCCGTTTCGTTATAATTTATGCTGGGGTATCCTCAGTCTTTTCCAGGGGGTCGCTACAATAAATTTATATTCGCGGAGACAGGACTTCTCAAAATAAAAGTAATGTGTGTTAAATTTTAAATGTAGATTTATTTAAAATATTATTAATTCATGAAAATAGTATTTAAAAAAAAGGGAATTTAGTTAAACGTAATTATGTAAACTTGAGATTACTAATGTGTACAATTCATTGACATAGTATTTTAAAAAAACTAAGTAAATTCATTAAACGTGATTAAACTTGAGAAACTTGAGATTATTTCCTGGTATTCTGCTGTATCTGGAGGTTGTTCCTTTGGAGCTCGGTGATCTCTAATCTGGTTCCGTGGTTTGTATCTTCGTATGATTACTTGCTCAATGCGTACCTGTGTGGGACAGAAGGGTTAGTGTATATATAAAAAAATATATTTCCTTGTTCGGTTATAGAATATCTATACAATAGTGTCCAAGTGTCTTGACTTAAAACCGCCCATGCACTTGTACACAATTATATATATATTTTAGTAATTTATACAACTAGGCTTAAAACCGCCACTGTGTCAGACAATATTTTTTTATATTTATTTATTTTATATTTTGACATACAATGCCACCGAGTGATCATACAAGACTCACTACCCTTACCAAAAATGCGTCGTCTTTTATACAGATCAGACGAGCTTTTTGTGTAGCGCACATACAATTGTTTTCTGCTGTTTTGTGAAGTTTTGTTTACTTTCCCGTTTGTATGTCTTACTTTCGTACTGTTCTTCAAGTTGTGCGCTCAACCGATCTCGTCTATCTCTTTGCGGCGAATTTCTATTTTGACGTTTTTGATATTTGCTTGTTATGTTTTGATTTGATAATTCTTGTAACTTTGCGTGCGGTGCTTCTTGTTTTTATTAAATTATTTGTAATTTAATTTTATAATTATAAAAAATAATTTATTAGAAAATTATTTAAATAAATTTGCGGGGATGAACAAAGAAGGTATGTATTTATTATTTTATTAAGATATATTTCTCTATTTATTACAAATTTATTATCTCCTAATTTCAGATTGCTTCACGTGTTGCAGTTGCGTGCAGGCTGGGTAGCTTTTTGGTAAGTAGTTTCTAATAACTATATTAAATGTTAATTTATCTATTTTAATTTCAGATTTCTTCGAAATTTATTTAAATTTATGTAGGTTGGAAATTATTACAAATTTCCATCCTCACAAAGTTACGCCATAAGGATCTAGTGTTATAGTATGTTTACACTAAATAGTGTGAAATTTGATCAGAAAGTGTAATAGATCTGAACCTTTTTAATGAAAGTGTATAACATAATTTACAATTTTTATTAACTGAAATTGAAAATATGGATGTGGAATATATGTATATATGGTTTCAACAATCATCGTCGCAATCAACACAACACGTCGTATATTGTCTTTCTCAGGAAGAAATTTTTTGAATATGTAAATTCACATTTTAGTGTTGTAAAATGATCACCAAAATCATGCGATTTTTCACCACTAACCATTTTTGTAGGATTACCTAGGGTACTGTGCTGACGTGGGAATGATTCCAAATAAGATTCTCAAATGGGTTAAGATTCTCATACCTTAACTCCAGTTAATATAACCCAGCTATTAAAAGTTATGTTCCCATAAATCATCAAAAATTAGCCCAAAAAGATCTAGTACTATATACTAGATATTGCATCTTGCACCTAATGGCAAACAATAAACAAAAATTTGATTGAAATTTTATTTATAAGTGCGTTTTATTTACATTTATATTGGTAAGAAGAAATTGAAATTATATATAATAATTTTTATGTTCATAACTAATCAATTTTTACCTATAAATTGACACGATTCGTTTGTTACTCTTTCAAGACCTCATTCTTCATTTAAAATCAAATTTCAAACAACCGAAAAGTGGAAGAACAATTAAACTTTTTGAATTTGTTTTTAAATTTAGTTAAAACGTTAAGTTAAAAAAAGTTAACATCAGTTATATAAACTTAACAATTAGAAAAAATTTTCCATATATGAAACCCAATTAGGATATAATTGGAACATTGAAATATATAGATATGTAGAAGTGTAAGCAAATATTATTCGGATCAGGGAAATATGGATATAGCTATCATACAAATTGTAGAGTTTACTTAAGTTCTTGTGAAAGAAACGTTTATATACAAATCTTGGTTTTTAAATATAACTGTCTATATTATACAGATATATAAATTGTATTTGAAAATCAAAAGCTATACGTGTGCCATCCCAACTTTGGGCAACCTAATTCATATAAGCCAGCAAAACTTTATAATTAATTGACTTAATAACTTGTATTGAACAAAAGCATCCGTTATTATCAAATAGATTAGTAACAGTGTGATGTTGTACATTAAAGTAAGACAAAGTAATAAAGTCTAACATAATAGGTTAGACCACAACATAATAGTTATAAAAACTCCTGACACAATTTCATATATTGTGCGTAATACATAGAACCCGTTTGAGTCTACAACGAACATATTTTCTAGATGAAATAGTCCTAAACTTAAATTAGTCGCTACTGCTGTTTAACACTTTTCTAGAGCATTAAAGGATGCTAAAAGCTGCGGGATATTCTGTAAAACGCCTATTGAAATGTTCACCCATCGTATCTGTTATAAATACTTCGCGCTTGCCAGAATATAGGTTCCCTACACGTCTTTTTTGATCGAATAAGGCCAGGCATCTTAAATGAGGAGATGTTGTACGATTCACTAAAGGCTTAACTTTGCTTAAACTTAGCCTGGAAGTACTTATCTTTACTACTTGTGTCTCTTTTAATATTAAAAATATTTTAAATAATATAAATATCGTAAATTTAAAAAAGTATTAGTAGATATTTTTCTTGAAGTAGATTGATTCAGTAGTATTATTTAGTGTATATATATATATAACGTCGTTTTTGGACAATCAGTGCAAATTATTTGTTAATTTAACGAGACATTTATGCAAATTGTTTTATTTGATCTAAACACTCCATTCAAAAATTTGTACGTAATCATAATATTTGCCGGAAATCAAATTGCTTTTAAACAAAATATGAAATTGTAAATATGGAAAAAGTACGTAAAAGAGAAACCTAAAAAATATTGCACAAATTTAGAAGCAAAAACCCCAAAAGTGTCTGAATTAAGCTTCGACTCATGAATACGGAAACAGAATGTCCATTCAGGACACGCAAAGCAAATAGACCAACCTACATAGATGTTTGAAAAATCGTAAATGTTTGTAAATACTGTACATACTTGTACATAAGCAAAAGAGCAGCAATTGTTAACATTTGGTCTAATAAATTGTACGGCACAAAATCAAAATAACAGTCGATCTTTCTGACTGATGTGAATGCGCTACAATACTCGTATGCATTAAAAAACCTCCTCTAATATATTTGATTTATACGGATTTGTCAAAAATAATGAATTTTCATAAACTTCATATCACTGTGATATCACACAACTAAAAGTTTATATTTAGAAAACAATTAATTAGTCGTATTATAAGGCATATTATACAGATAGTCATATGACGAATGGTCACGGCAATTTTACGCCCTCTTTCGTCATGACCAGAATGTTATGTATATAGATGCAATTATCACGTTTGCCAATTTCGTACTTATACTACTATTTTGGTATGTTTTTTTGTGCTTAAATTTAACAGATAATTGTTTTTGTGTGAATATGCTTAGGTATCCATACAAACAGCACAAATTTACTCCTAATCGACTCAAATTCTGACATTATATACTAAGTAAGACGACTATAGAAAAACTCGTCAAAGTGATCAAATTTTAATTTAAATTTCTGTCATTATCTTATTCTCAAATTTTTAATTTACAATGAAAACAATTTTATGATTGACGTGATCATGACTTTTTGTATAACGTATCCCTAAATACTGACCATAACCAAAACGTAGGGTTTTAGCCTTTCGTATTCAAACCAAAATATTTTTTATTGATGAGTACCTCAAGTCAGATCGAGACAACGGATACTCTTCGTGCTAACAAGCAATGCTTGACAGTCAAGGTTTTGTCACCTCGAAGAGAACCATATTGTTACTTAGATTATCTACTTCAATAATTAGTAACTGATAATTGGAATAATGAATGGCAAAATGCTTTCTCCTTTATCTGTCAGTATTGAAGTTATAAAACCATAAAGTTTTTAAAGACATTTGTTAAAAAAAATTAGTCGAAAAAGTAATAAAATAAATAAATGTACTGATATTAATATACTTACAATATATAAAAAAAATTGTTTAATATATTCTAACATTGATTTTTAACGATATGCGTACCAAGAATGCCGCTCGTCAGCGTAGAGTGCGATAATGAAATGTATTAGTTTATTTATTTATGTTTGCAGTGTTTCTGTGCTTTGTGTTCATAAACGATATTCGCAGATACAGATACAAATACAGATACAAAAGTAATATGCACACACCTGCAGAAACATAACAAAATGAGTTTATTTTATCGACTTACATAAAAATAAAATAGGAACAACACATTTAGAAGGACTGCAGACAACGCCTAAGGTGGCAACTGGTACACGGACCTTCCACGGAAGGCGTTGATGGCATTCTCGTTTTTCCTTACTTTAATACATTTTTCTTTTTATTCCAGCCTGCAAATAAAAAACTGGTATTTCATTTCTTAAAACGTTTACGGTTGATGCTCAATTTCAATGCCCATATTCGGTGCTAGTTCTACTGCAGATAAAGGCGTGACGTTGTTAGTGTTTGTGTGTATATGAATTATTAAGCATTCATTTGCGATTATCCTTGCATATGCTCATCGTGGGTCGATGCCAAGCAAAGCGTGGGTCGATGGCTTTAATTTTTTGGCTTTTCAAGGGAGATGCAGGAGTGCTTTATTTATTATCCTGCGGGTAGTTAGTTTCTTATGGTTGCAAGTACGATTTGATTACTTAAGAGATTTACGGCAATCAAAACAAGAAATAAAAAAGAATTGGTTAATAAATTTAAGTGTAGTTGCCAACAGGTACAGCAATATCCTGTGCGAAACATAAACTTGCATAAAAAATTGCTCAAAAGTCATTCGCTGTTACTTTTAATTAGCTTGTAAATTTTTTTCGTCGTAAATATAATTAAATAAATATTAAAACACAAGCTTTGAATACAATAAGGCTAAAGGTGTTTTGACTAGAAAGCTAGAAACATTAAATGAACTTAAGATATATTGAGAACCAAAGAATGGATTTAATAAACATATACATGGGTTAACTAGTACGAACAAATAATTTTATATGTTATTATTTAATTTCTAAACATTTTCATTTCATTTGTTAAACAATAATTTTTACATTCTTAACAAAAGTCCCAAATGTGCGTTTATTGGACAAAACTTAGAATGGAATTTGCTGCAACTTTAATACTCTTCATGTAGATACATATAGTTTAGTCTTTGTCAAATGTACAATGTGGTTTTTAAATCAATGAGTTTCTTATATGGTGTCACCATGGACCTAAATGGATACTTACAATCATCAGTATAACCTGAATTAACTTTGATAGATGACAAGCAAAAAAAAAAAAGGATGTAAAATTTGCGTTATAAATTTTTATCTATAATTTATCTATTAT